AGGTGTTGGAATTCCCACATGGCAGACTGTGGTTCGAGTCCCAGGCCTGGCAACTTGCTTTCTCACTCTCCCTCTCTCTCTTTCTCTGGTAAATGCATGTGAAAACAATAAATAAGTAAATAAATAAATACACAACATAATTCTTAAAAACAAAAAAGTACTGGATATATTGAAATATTTCCCATCCATACAATTAGGTAGGGCTTTCTCTCTCTCTCTCTTTTGTTTTAAAGAAATATTTCTTTCTTTATTTTTATTTGACCAGAGAGGGACAGAGCGAACGAGTGAGAGAGAGGGAAAGTGAGCAAGTCACCAGTCTGAGGCTTGAACCACGGTCGGCCACGTGGGAGTCCAGCATCCCTAACCACCATGCCACCTGCCGGCCCCAAGGTAGGGCTTTCTTTGAAGACATCAATAGCAGTCCAGTGTCAGTATGGGTGACTTAATCTGAGAAAACGTCATGTCTAGACTGGATTACAAACTTTCCCATCTGTAGTAACCTGTTCCCAATAACCGGCTTCTCACTGAGCAGCCAAAGATCTTTATAACACATAAATAAGACACTCTAACTCCCCCACCATAGGGGGAGGACCTATAAGCGCTGCAGCCTGCCCCATCGCTCTCCCTCCCATCACCAATCATTCTCCCCCTAATTCTCTCTGCTTCCGCCATGTGGTTGTCTTTCTTGCAATTCTTTTTTTTTTTTTTTAAGAGATTTTTGCTATAGGGCATCTGTGCTTGCCAGAGCGACAGAGAGAGAGAAAATGAGAAAGCACCGCCCACACACACACCAGCAGGGATGGCCACGCTGCAATCCCTTCTCCATTCATTCTCCTCCGGGATTTTGGGCACGCATGCACAAGCACCCAGTGCGTTTCAAGACTCCAGGTCCAGGACTCGAACCATGTGGGAATCCAGCGCCTTAACCAGTGCATCACGTGCGGGACCCAATCAGCGGTTCTTTTACAGAGCAAAGCCTAGGACAACCCCAAAGGCGGTGTGTGAATATATCGGATTCTCTCTGCCTGCAAAACCCATGCAGAATCTCAGCCCGGCTGCCTCCTCGTCCATCCGGATCCCTGCTCAAATGTCACTTTCGGGACCGCCGGTCCCCGCTAGCCCAACTCGATGCCCCCATTCTGATTTCCTCCCCATCACCCAACCCTGAGAACGGGGGGTTCGTCGGTGTCCCCTCCGGAAACGAAAGCCCAAGCGACTGCCTCCAGCGTGTTCACGGCCGTCTCCGACGACTCGAATCCCTCCTGGCCAGTGCCCACTCGCTGAATGAGCCGATGCACTGACAAACGTGTCTACACGGGGCCCCCTCGCATGCTCCCCACTCGCGCCGAAGGCCGGGGGGCGGCTCTCCACGACCCGAAGAGAGCGCTGTCCTCCCCGCCGGGCGAGGTGTCCCCGGTCGCGGGGACTAAGAGACGCGCCGAGAACCCGGCAGTCGCGCCTGAGCAGCGCTGAGCGGGGCGGCGGGACACGACACCCCCTTTTCCACATCCTGGCGATCGCCGTTCCCCTCTCGACCCCCCACTTACATCCCGGACTAGCCCCTTACCCGGCCCCACACGCTCTCCCCGCGCAGAGCTCAGCGGAGCCCCCGGGTGACCGACCTGAGTCCCGAATTCGGCCCCTCAGCCCTCACACCGCCATTCGCGCGAACGCCGGCCCCGTCCGGGCCTCCGTAGT